TGACGGAAGGGGCGTGGTTAGTGAGGAAGGGGGGGGGGTGGTGGAAGGGGTGGGGCCCTCCAGAAAGGGCGGGGTGTGTGGCGGAAGGGGCGGGGTGTGTGGCGGAAGGGGCGGGGTGTGTTCCGGAAGGGGAGGGGTATGTGACGGAAGGGGCGTGGTGCCTGACGGAATGAAGTCATATGGTATTTGTCTTTCTCGGATTCGTCTCACTTACCATCGTACTCTCTAGATCCATCTACGTCATTACAAATGGCAAGTTTTTGTTCTTTTTTGTGGCTGAGTAATATTCCATTGCACATATTTACTGTATGTGCTTTACCCATTCATGTACTGATGGGTAGTTGGGCGGCTCCCATGGTTTAGCTGTTGTAAATAATGTTATGGTAAACGTAGGGGTGTGTGTATCTTTGAAAGTTAGTATTTCTTACAAATCACTTTTTTAGACGTCTTTTTTATAAAAGACTTTTTTTGTAAGGCATTTCAGGGTGGTCTCCCAAAAGTTAGAAATAGACCTGCCCTATAATCCAGCAACTGCACAAAGTACACAGAAAAACGAAGTCAAAGGGCTGCTGGCACCGTGACGTTTCGAACAGCATCGTCTGCCGCAGGCAAACTACAGAAACGGCCCAAGTGTCCATTGGCTCATGAATGCGTGAAGAAGATCCCATGGAATATTATGCAGCTGTAAAGAGCGATGAAGTCTTTCCACTTGCAGGCACGTGGATGGAGCAGGAGAGTATTGTGCTAATTGAAATAAGCCCGAGGAAGACAGATACCACATGATTTTGCTCATATGTGGAATTTAAGAAACAAAAAAATGAACAAAAGTGGAAAGTAGAAGTCCAGACAGAGCCTTCACTATAGAGAACGAACTGATGGGTTCAGAGGGGAGGCGGAGGGAAATGGGTTCAGTAAGCAATGGGGGAGAGGAGGGCCCTTGTTGGGAGCAGCCGGGGTCGTGTGCACGCGGTGACACTAGACAGAGCACTTGAAACTGCTATTGCGATGTGTGTTAGCTGACAGGAATTTTAGGTGAAAACTTAAACATTAGCACGGCTCCTGGGTGGCTCAGCGGGTTAATGAGCATGTGCCTTCCACATGGGTCATGGTCTCAGGGTCCTGGGTTGGAGCCCTCCCTCTCCTGTTCCTCCTTTTTTTTTTGAAGATTTTATTTATTTATTTGACAGAGATCACAAGTAGACAGAGATGGAGGTGGGAGTGGGGGGGCTGCAAGCAGGGACCCTGCTGAGCAGAGAACCCGATGCAGGCTCGATCCCAGGACCCTGGGATCATGACCTGAGCTGAAGGCAGAGGCTTTAACCCACTGAGCCATGCAGACGCCCTGCTCCCCCCCACTTATATGCGCGTGTTCTCTCTCCCTGTGTCAAATAAATAAAGTGGTTTAAAAAGTTAAAAAACCATTAGCAGATAAGAGAAAAAATAGCGTCTATCCCACTGTTCTCATTCTCCCCCACAGTTGTTCTTTCTCAGTGGTCTCTGCGTCTCCCATAACACATTTTGCCGTTTCCTTTGTTCTCCCTCATCCCCTTTCCTGTTACCTTTTCTCATTCCCACAGTTCCCCGTTCACCGCCGTGATCTTGTCTCTCCCGCGTGCCCTGTTTTTCTCCCCGTCCCACATTTCTCCTTTTTTCCCCATAATCTCGTGTTTCACACTCCGTCTCCCGTCTCCGGTGCAATTCCTTCTGCCCTGGTTCTCTCTCTCCCACGATCCCTTGTGTCCTGCGGCGCCTTGTGCCTCCCACACTTTCCCAGACCCTCCACGGCCTGGTTCTGGGGTTATTTCCCTCAGTTTCCCACACGCTCCCGCCATTCTGGGCCCTTCACCGTCCCTCCCAGCTCGGTCTCCTGCGGTGCTGCTTTCCTCCACACTTTGTCCTCCCGACAATTCTGTTTTTTCTCGAGTCCTCTGACCTTCCCCACAGTCCTCCTCGCAGTCGCCTGTCTCCACTCCGTTCTTCCCCACAGTTCTCCATCTTTGCCACATTCTCTCCTTGAGTCCGTCGTGCGTCCTTACGAGCCCGTCTCTCCCCGGGTTCCGTTTCTCTCCACAGCTCCCCATTCTCCAGAATTCGCGTCTCTCCCACAGGTCTTTTCCGTCCTGAATTCCCCTGTGTCCTCCGCAGCTCTCACTCCCACAACTGCCTGGCCCTCTCGGGAGTCCTTATCTTCGCCTTCGTTCCCTGTTGTCACGGCCCTCCTCAGTGTGACACCAGGTGGCCCCGCGGTGGCCACTGCGAGGGAAGTGTGGAGGAGATGCCCCCGTGCTCGTGACTTTGGTGCATTTTCTAGATCAAAGTCAGTGTCCTGAAAGCGATCCAGGTCGCGGTGTCTTATGATCTCTGGCTCGGGGGTGCCCCCTGGCCGGGCTTTCGGGGAGTCCAGGAATGACAGGTGACAGTGTGGGAGACATCCAGTGTGACTTCAGAAATGTGTACCTGCGTGGGGCCAGGAAGTTCCCAAGAACCCGTCTGGGCTGGCAGGGCTCGTCACAGCAAGGGACCAGGAAGAGGGGCTGGCCCTTGGGTCCCAGGAGCTTGCGGGCATCTGCACACCCCGCAGGGACACGCGTCAGGGGTTCACACTTTGCACCAACGGAGAATTAATGCAAATCCCCAGCGGCCCCACTGGACTCCCTTCTCTGAGCCTCGCTCAGCCAGCACGCTCTGTCTTCGTGGAAACCTTTAGGGCCAGAAGAGAAAACCCATGGAAATGCAGGCCCCCGGGACGCGGGTGCGGGTTGGGCTGGGCGGCGGCAGCGCTGGCATCTGGGAAGGCCGTCAGGGTACAGATGCGTCTTCTCCACGGAGCCCCGGGGCAGGATGAAAGAACCAGGAACTCCTCAAAAGCCACAGGATCCAGGGCAGGCCCTGAAGTGTGAGGTCCCAGGGGAGTGTCCCCGGCCCAGTCCTTGATCACAAGTCAGCACGTGATGTCCCCCCACGGAAGTCCCCACCAGTTCCCATGAGCTCAGGACGCCCTCAGCAGCAGCGCGTGACCCTGTGAAAACCAAGTCTCTTTGAAGTGCGGTCGTAGCCGTGGCTTCTGGAAGGCTTCCCCGCTGCTGCTGGTCTCCTGGCAGCGCAGGCTCCCCGCCCCAGCTGACGGTCTCCCACCGACCTCGCCGGCCGTGCAGATCTCCGTGGGTCCGTGCCTCCGCCCGTCTTCTGCGTCCCCCGTCTTCGTGGTGCTCGTGAGACAGAGTCTGGCGCGCTCAGACCGCGGCTCTCCGGACTCCTAACCCGGGCCCGGGAGGAAGCCCTGACCGCTGCGCCCCCAGCAGGGGTGTCTGTGTCACGGCTGGCAGTGTGGGGGCTCCTGAGGGGCCGTGCGTGCGCTGTTTCGGTCGGGTCATCGTCTTTTCCTGTGGTTCAGGCTTTGCTGGACCTTCCGCAGACACCGATCCTACTGTCTGCTCGTCTCCGCAGAGCACAAAGGTCCTCTTCCGCGTGCGGTTCCCTCAGCTCCACACGCGTCCCTTGAGAAACGGCTCTCGCCCCCACTTCCTTCTGCTCCGCAGTCCCACTCAGCGCTCTGCGTCGTAGCGCGGCCGCCCCCTGCCGTCAAGGCCCTCGCTCCGCCGTGCGCACCCATGCAACCGTGTGTGTCCAGCACCTTCCGCGTGCCCGTGTTCCAGGGGCGCTACTGGTAACTGCTGACTGCAGCAGGCCGCTTTCTCGTGCACAGGGACTGTCACTGCAGCGGCAAATGCAAATGATTATGCAGTATCCCGGGTGGCCCAGACGTTTCGTGAAGAAACACAAACCCGTAAGGGCAGGAGCGTGGCTCTAGATAGGGTGTCCTACATTTGTCCCTGAGGATGAGGGAGCCCTTGAGGTGAGATCTGGAAGGCGACAGTCCTACCGCTGAACAGCTGGTGCCATTTGAATTGAGATCTGAATGAGGTGTAGACGGGAGCCTGAGAAAAGCTGGGAACGAGCTCTGTGGGCAGGAGTGATGGGCAAAGTCCCTGTGGCAGAACTGGGCTGGACGTGTGAGAGAGGCCAGCGTGCCTGAGTGTTGTGAGTCAACACAGAGTGTGACATGAGTGGGGAGTATAGTGACCAGTAAGGCCCCTTGGTGGATGGACTTTGCGATTTGGAGACAGGAAGGACAGTCACTTGCCCTTGCACAGTTGAAAGGGCCACACTTGGTCATGTGTTCCCTGTGGGTGTTCCCCACGTCCAAGCTAGAACCGGGCGCACAGCAGGCGTGCCTGGACACTTGAGGAACAAAAGAACGATTCCGACGTTCGTTAACGGACCCGCTCACGTTCTGAACGAAGGTGTATCACTGGCACGAACAGACCTTCAGGACGACCCAGTTGGCGGGACTAAGTGCCCTGATTGGCTCCCACTTTTCCCCCCTGAAACCCCGGGGCATCAGCCATGAAAAGACAATTTTTTGAGAAGATTTTTATTTGACCGAGATCACAGGCAGGCAGAGAGGCAGGCAGGGAGAGAGGCGGAAGCAGGCTCCCCGCTGAGCAGGGAGCCCGATGCGGGGCTGGATCTCAGGACCCTGAGGTCATGAGCTGAGCCGAAGGCAGCGGCTTAACCCACCGAGCCACGCAGGCGCCCGATGAAAAGACGGTGTAGAGGTGTTTTTGTCTGACGCGACTGGTGGTCTCCAGCCAGCTGGACCCTTCCTGGGCTTGAGTGCAGGCGGCCCAGCGGCCGTGGGGTCCCGCTGGCCAAGGCAGCGCCCCCTGCGGCAGCTGCCCCCGTGGTCACAGCGGGCCGCGATCGCGTGCTCCCCCGTCCGACAGCCCAGGGCCCCGACGCGGCCCGTGTGCGCCGCTGGTGTGCATTCGGGCCACAGCTGCCCCGCGGTCCGGCGCGGGCACACGCGGCCCCCGGTGCGGAGGCCTGGCCGGAAGGACGCGGGGGCTGAAGGTGCCCGCGGGTCGCGCACCGCGGCCGAGGAGCGCCCCTCCGAGACGGCAGCACCGTCACAGGCTTTTTCCGCTTTTCCTCCGCAGGTTCTGAGGCCAGCACCGTTGACACCCCCGTCGCCCGGGAGCCGCGCCGCGGAAGGGGGGTTGACTGCGTTCCCCCGCCCCCGGGAGACCTGTGAGCGGGACGCGCGTCGGGCCGCCACGTCCTCAGCCTGCGTCTCTCGGTCTTCAGAGCCGTGTTCTGCCCCCGATCTGCCGCCCGCACCGGCCGGGCTTTGCTCCCGAGGACGCTCTCTGCCGACAGGATCCGCGAGCAGGGCCGGGAGCGGAGGGCGCGGCTAATGCGGACGCGCGAGGCCCTTGGCTTCTCCGAGGCGGCGGCCGGCCGCGGGCGCGCAGATCCGGGCCCCCGGAACTCGAGCGAATAAACGAGCGAAGCGGTGACCGCGCCGGCCTGCGCGCTTGTCCGAACCGCACCCGCGGGGCGCTCTGCAGCCAAGTGCGGACGCGCCGCTCGCGGGTGGGCGAGGGGAAGCGGGGCTGCAGGAGGGCTGGGGCGGCGGCGCTCGCACCCTCCCCGCGCCGGGTCCGCGTCCCCCGCGCAGCCGCCGGTCCCGGGCCGAGCGGGGACCCGGTCTGAGCAAACCGGGGAACCCGCTGTAGATCGCCGCATCGGCCGAATCCTTCGGTCCGCAGGAATCTGCGCGCTCCGACGCTGTAAGCGTCTTGTTCATTTCTGGGCCAAAGTGTCTAGCGCGCCCCGGAGCGGCCGGCCCGGGGGGCCTCGTGCAGGAAGGCCAGACGCCGAAGCCTCCGGACACCGCAGGCAGCTCCGCCACGTGACCCCTGCCTTCGCGCAGCCGACTCCCGCTTGCTTTAGAAAAGCTTAGAGGCTTCTAGAGTTGTACTGCTGGGGACTCGCTTGCTGGCAGGAGGCCTCCGGGCACGGCTGCACGGTGCTCAGGTGCCCAGGGCCGTGCGCTCCTGGGGGTGGACCCACCGTGACCCGGAGCCTCCGGTAGCGTCAGGAGTGCACGTGCGGCTGCCTTCTTACTCCGTGTGGACATCCGTCTCTGCCGGCGTGGGAAGCGCCCCCTGTGCAGGAGGCCTCCCCGCCCCCGCCGGCCTGAGGCCAGGCCACCCCACCCTGGACGGCGAGATGCCCAGTCCTCGCTCCCCGGCCTCCCCATGCCTGCGACAGGAAAGGGGACCCGGCTGCCGTGCCCCCGCCGCAGACCGGATCAGAACTGGGGCCGGGACCGGGCAACAGCAGCCTGTCTGGGAGGCCGGCCTCGGGCTACTGTGAGCCCTGGGCAGCTCCCCGCATGCGACCCGGCCCGTAGCCCGTTCTTGTCTGTGTGGCCGTCGAGTCTGGTTCTCCGACAGCCCTTGGAGGGCTCGGGCCCTGCTTCAGTCTCCTCGGCGGGCCGCGAAGCGGAGTCAGTCTCAAAGACTTGCAGGTCAGACGACCGTGCCCCAGGGTCTGCTTCACGGCTGGGGGCAGGGGGACGGGGAGCCCAAAGGTGTCTCCCAACTCACAGCTCCGTAGCGGGCACCGAGCGAGCCGTGGATGCACCGGGGACACCTGCGGAACCGGACCGGCCCCTCTGTGCGGAGGAGAGACGCCGCAGACGGGGACTAGAGATCGCAGCGGCAGCCTGGTTTGTAGCATGTCCCGGTCCCGCGGTGCTAGACACCCCGGGCTCGTGAGGGGCAGCGATCTGGGGCCGGGAAAGCGGGGACGGCGCCAGCGGGCTGGGCTGGACATGCGGCGTCACCCGTGGCTGGGGCCGCAGTTTGGGTGGGAACGTGGGGCGCCTCCCCCGTGTGACTCGAGCTCCAGGGCAGCGCAGGCGGCCTGTGGCTCATCGCACTTCCAGGTCCCTTTGGAGGACTCTGCTCTCACCCCCTCCGCTTCGTCTACGGTGTCTCATCTGCGTAGACTCCCCCTCCCCTGTCTGTTTGGCTGGGGTCTCCCAGTCGCTCTCACTGGACGGAAACTGGGTTCCTCCTCTGAGCCCTTCTCCGGAGCAGGTGACACCGTGCAGACCAGCGTCCCGCCCTCTCCGCGGCCGTTTCCCACGCCCTGTCCCCATCCTGGTGCACGTGGGAACGCGTCCCCTGGCGGGGCGTACCTTGTGGATGAGACGTTACAGAGCAAAGGGAGCCGGACTGGGAGAAACCAACATGCGGCCACGGCCCGAGCGCTCTGCAGGTTCCCAGTCCCGCTGTCCGTCGGCGGCACCCGCAGCCCCGGGTGCCCGGACGCCTTCCCGCCCACACGAGCAGCCGGCAGGAGCCGGCAGCAGCCGCGTCAGGGTGTGACGCACGCGGAAGTCCGGTTGAGTGACCGCGAGCTGGAGCTGCCTGACACACAATGACGGCGTGTCCTGTCTGCTGTGAAACGCCCCGTCTAAGGCTGTGGCTTCCCCCAAAGCCACGCGTCATGACGCCTCCATCCCTGGGACCCCGACGTGCCCTGTGCTCCCGAGCCGGGGGGACCTGCTTGGTCAGCTTGGGAGTCGCCGAAACGCAGCAGCAGCAGGGGGCCGCGTCGCCCACAGCACCGGGGCCCCACTGTCTGCTGCGTTCCGGTGCAGGGGCACCTTGCAGGGGGCGGGAAGGGCACCGTGACCTTCTCGGAGACGGGTCTGGCAGAGAAGTGCCTGAGCAGCACCGTGCCGCCCTCCCCGCCCAACTCCTTTCCAATCGTGGGGACGGCAATACCCCGTCATTCTGGGGCGCCCGCCGACCGACGTGACGTCAGCAGCGGTCAGCGCGTGGTACGGAGGGTCCGCCCCTGCCGAAGGTTCGTGTGCACCGTGCAGTCCCCCGGGGGCTAGGACTCGGGGTTCTCCGGGTGGCTCAAAGCTAGCCCCGGAGCTCAGACCCTACCAGACCTACCTGCCAAGACCCCTCTGCTCGGACGCTTTCCAGCCGCCAGCCCCGGGTGACACAGCGAAGCAGGAACCCGTGGAAACGTGCCCCCGCTGCAGAGCCCTCGGCCGTGGCTGGGCTGCGGTTCCTCCCGCCCTGGGCGCTCGTTCCCACGGCCCCGTCCACCAGAGCGACCCTGGAGGGACGCACGCGACTTCTTTCTTCGGGAAAACGCAGAATCTGGTTTCTGTCTATCCGTCCGTCCGTGTCAACCTGGGCCCGAGGGTCCACCCCGCGAGCGCAAGAAAGCACACCCACCAAGTTCTCTAATATCAAAATAGAGCAATTTATTCAAGACACTGAGTATGATTGGTTGATTCTCTCTGGAAACAAAGGAGCTACGACACACAAGGTGACTCTTCTCAGCGCGTGAGGGTGGGTGGGCCGGAGGACAGACCGCGGCGGATGCGATGGGACGGGATCGAGAGAAAACGCAGACAGGGGACCGCATCTGGCTGTACGTCTGACACAGACAATAAAAACCGCAGAAGCCAGAATTCAAAACCTCAGTGAGTGGCGGAAAGAACATTTCTGCATTTGACAAGAAACACGATTTAAAAAAGGAAAAGAAAAAGGTGGAACAGAAAGTTAAAAATAACAACAAAGCAGACCCTTACATCTGACAAAGTGCACTTCACGTGGCTCCGTGATCTCGGTTCAGAAAGACAAGACAAACGTCATGTCCCGGGTGCCGTGTGGCGTCAGCGGCTGGACGCCCTATCCCGGCTCGCCCTCCCGGTCCCCTGCCGCAGGGCAGCATCCCCTTGCCGGGCGGGCCTGGGGAACGCGCTCTTGGTCGCTTGAAACCCAACCGCGGATCCTGGGCCGCATCCCGTGTTACTGTGATTGCAGAACCAAGGTTCCCTCTGGTCCCAGAGACGGAAGCATTTCCCCGCGATCTCAGCGCCATCAGCAAGGACCAACCGTGCGTTCTCCCTTGGGCCATCCCGCGAGGACGGAGCGGGCTCTACCAGCTTCCTGGCCACAGGGCAAACGTGGGAGGCTCCACGGATGGCGGTCGTCGTGCCGAGGGCGGGGCTGCACGGAAGGGGCCGCGCACTCACGGTCGGTCCCTGTTCAGGCCCGTGGGGAGCGCCTGTGCCATGGCGGCTCAGGGCAGCCGGGGAAGCGGACAGTTGGCCTCCGTCCTCTCTGGCTTCGTTACTTCCTGCACACAGGGGTCAAGCCTGTGTCGTGCGAGGCCTTGTAGCTCTTGACTCCTACATCCTGGTTCCCAAGTGGCTGAGTGTCCTCGGGAGGCTGACGCCCGGGCTCCCGACCTCCCTGTGAAATTTACCTAGTGAACCCCTTCCGGGATGTCCCGACCACGGAGCTCCCCTCAACAACTTACTCTCTGTGCAGGTGACACTGGAACTTGCACAGGGAGTCGAGACGGTGTTGGTCTGAACCCCCAGCGAACTGCGTCCCAAACCCAGGGACGCCTTGGGGCCAGCAAGTCCTTGTCTGCCCTCCAAACACGGGGGTGAGGACTGCACGGGACCCGGACCCCTGGGCTAAGCACTGAGGCACCAGAGCCTGAATGAAATCCCCATGTGGTCCACAGAGCACTTTCCGGGTCTCGCGCAGACGGGGCGCGCAGGACTCCAATATCCAAGCCAGTTAATGAGCCGGGAAGGCCGACACTCTCCGGTCTTTGTAGCTGGGCCCGGCGCAGTCCAAGTTGCGCAGGGAGCCCCGGCCCTCCCTGCCCGTGGGGTTTCAGCTTCACGGGTGGGTGCCACCCTCTGATGCACGCTCCGTATCACTGCTGGGACACACGACCCAGCGGACGCCTGCCCACCACCGAACCCCCGCCCCCAGGCCCGGCCAACTTCCTCATCCCTTCCTGTGCCCGCCGGGAAAAAGGTGGCTTAGGGCCTTCTCTTCCGCGCCTTCCCCGCTGCTCACTTAAAAACTAGGTCCGTGTCCGGTTATGACGACAAGAGTACAAAGGTCACCTGATCCAATGAAAGGAAACTCCTCTAGGAACACAAAGCCATGTTTAATTTTTTAAAAACAGTAAAAAGATTCATTTAAAAAAAAAATCTTTCTCCTATTCTCTTGCGAGAGAAAGAAATTATGAAGACAGCAGAAATTATTAGTGACGTTTTCTACCTATGTAATTCACCTCCGGGACTGAACATGTGCGTTCCCCGTTCGTTTCTGTCACTGGGAGACCAGGGGAGATCCTGGGGCCTTTTATGTCCGCGTGGCAAGGACGGGCCACTCTGCTCTCGGTTTCTGTAGCGCCGCCCACGAGCTGTCGAGGGGACACTGAGCCCAGCTGCAAGCTGTGATGGCGTCTTCCATGCCATCTGGTTTGGGGAATGCTTCTTGGGGTCAGAGGGCGCTGCGGTCCCGCTCTCCCGCCGGCCTCGGGGGCCCCGCGCCCCGTGAGGTGCAGGGCTCGTCTCCGAACCAGAAGGCGCTGAGCTCTGTCTCTCTCCGGCCTCAGGGCGAGCTCACGAGCCACGCGCAGGACCGACCTTTC